AACTTGACATCCTCTTTATGGTTCTGCTGTGTCTACAAGACAGCGTTATGGCCACAGAGAAGCGCTCTGAATTACTGTATTAGGAAGTCATTACATCTTGAAGGGAGAGAGAGTGGCTGGTGGCCTGGTGGGAAGACATCATTTTGTATGGTATGAGTGAGGCTGGGATGGGAGGGAAGAGCAGCAATCAGACCATCTCTAGGAAAATGTTGACAGGGAAAAGGAAGAGTGATGGAGTGATTCTCAAGGGAGAAGTAAAATCGATCCCTCCCCACCTTTTTGGTGGACGATGTACAGGAGACACCTGAACATATTCTTTGCCTAGGCCTGAGTATCTTGAAGGACTGAGTCAGTGAATAGCCCCAGGGGGAGCACGGCAGGAAGCCCTGGGCTGGGAAAGGAGAAGGAATCCATTTTCCTTGCATAGGAAAGGGAAAGAGACCAGGAATCTTGGGAGTGTGAAGTTGATGAGGATGAGAGGGGCTGTGGGTGTCAGTTGCATGGACTTGTTGCTCTGAGGGCAGCAGATGAAGTGATTATAAGTGGCTGGGGCTGGGTGAGATTAGGGCACTGCTGTGAGCAGCAGCAGAGGCTCGGGACAGACAGCTGTGGGCCTGGTTCTAGCGTGGCACCTCCCAGCGGTAGGAGCTTGGGCCAGTCGTTGGTCTTACTTTCCCCACATAAAACTGAAAAACAGGGCAATAAAATGAATCTCCACTCCAGGTCTACTGTGAAGATGGAATGAGTTAATGAAGTGCCTGGAGCAGAGGACCTAACATTAGGCAAGTTCCAGCTGGGGGAAGAGGAGGCTGAGAAGGACTGCAGGTGCGGTGCAGCCTGGCGCCTCTGCAGCCAGACTGGGAAGAGTCTGTGTATTTCTAATGAGCTCCCAGACAGTGCTGTTGCTGCTAGTCTGTGACTACACTTGGAGTGGCAGGTTGTGGCAGCACCAGTGCCCCAGCTGGGAGTGGCCAGAGGCCACCTATAATGGCCTCAGGCGGCATGGCTATGCAGCTTGGGGTCTTGTTGCCAGCTGCCCAGCTTTGCAGAGTGGATGTGGACTGGTTAGGAGGACACATCTGGCTATCCACGGGACAAGCTTTGCACATAGCGGCATGGAGAGTGTCAGCTGTGGGTGCCAGGCCTGGTGTGATGGGGAGGGAGTCTCCTGCCCTCCCATGAGCAAGGCCAGGCAGTGAGTGTAGGACAGAGGTGCTGAGAGAGGTGCAGTCAGAGGGGGGCTGTGTGAGAGCGTCAGCTGTGGAGGCAGTAGATTATTTACTGCTAAAACCTTGCTGAGTCTAATTCTGTTAATTTTTGATATTTAGATGGCTTTTTGTTTGTTTGGCGATGCCTCAAATAAGTTACAAACAGCAATTAGTTAGAAATAAGTTTTATACTTCTTGTCAGTAGAATGCCTGATCACAGAAATGTTACTGTGTGTGGCTTTCTGTTGTATGCAGTGCGTCCTCCACAGGCAGACATGAGGTCAGGGGGCTCCCTGGGTCGCGTGGGTGTCGGCTGTTCTCCAGAGAGGCTGAGTGCAGAGCTCCCAAGGAGGGGCAGAAGCATTCTGAGGGGATGGCAAAATCCCACGTCCAGGGAGAAGGTGATGTGGGCAGAGGAAGAAGAAAGCAGGTGATTATTTTGGCTGGTGGGCATGCCAGATGGAGACAGATTCTGTCAAACTTTGGCCAGCATTTCTTTGGGTCACATTTCTCTTCTGTCTCTTGAGACACACGCTGTATTTCTGACATATTTAGTGCCCTATTACAGGAAGTTCAGCCTTTGGCTGTCTGATACTCACCTTCATGTCCTTTGTCCTGGTTCTCGTGTCAGAGACCAGGGAGATGTACAGAGGTGGTGACACCGAGTGTCTGTATATGGCTCTTGTTTAGAGGGAGCCACTAGAGCCATTAGTCAGGCTCCTCCAGTGACTGTCCCCATGTCCGTCCATCTCTCCTCTCTGGCTGCTGTGTCCAGGCCCTGCCTCTGCCGCCAGATCTGGCCAGTAAGCCACACTTCTCCTCTGTCTACCTGGCTGAGCCTTTCTTCTTTCCTTGTGGGAATCAGAGCTCAGCTTCATTTCTTTAATGGATTTTCATGACGAGGCCATTCAGAGAAAGGGAAGAAAAAATTACTTTCTTTTTCAGGTGTGGTGTAAATGCAATTACATTACATTTTATTCCCAGTCTTGGGATTAAATGTCACTGCATGCAAGGCTTTTTCTGACCTCACTATAACCAGCTATGACCTGAGGAATTTGGGGGATTGAGAATTTCTCTAGATGTTACTTAAACTGAGCCCATTTCTCCGCGAAGCAATGGATGTTACTTTTGTAATCCCCCTGACAGATAAAGTAGAGAAGAAATTCATTCTGTCACAGCTCGATTTTACTAAGTGAATGAATCATTTAACAGAACAGAGCAATGTAACAGTTAATACAGTCGGAAATCCAAGGGTAAATACTCTTTATTTCTGTCATTGTAGGCGGTGGGGGATGATAGAAGCTTCTGCAGGCTATTTTTTTTTTTTTTTGAAGTTTTTACTTGGCTTGTTTCTTTAGTTCCTCAGTTGAAAAGATCATTTGCTAAATTATGTGAAACTTAGTTGGCTCTAAAAGGTAAAGGTTGTTTCTCATCATCCCTACAAAATCCCTGCAAGGATATAATTTTTTAAAATTGATTTCTGGTCTCTTCGATAGAAGTCAGTGTCACATAATTATACCATGAAACTTGGGTTACAAATTTATTCCTAGAAGTAAGCTGAGGGGGCATTCTCCAAGACAAACTTGTATTCTCATTCTCTGTGACTATTGTACGAATATTTTTCCCCACGTAGATGTTTTGAGTGTTCTTTGTGTTAATTTGGTCAACGCGTATACTTATCTAACCAATATTATTGCTTTAAGGCCCATCACACCATTTCTTTCAAGGTCTGGGGCTATAATCCTAAGCATTTTGTTTTATTTTTCTCTCTTCCAGCAAATAAAACTAGGAAGGAGACAGGTTCTAAAATAAAATTTAAAAAATGGCCATTTTATTGTTTGTAGTTGGATCCTGCTTGTGAAACTGAAACTTGACATCTTGTAAACATAGAGCCAGAGGGGGAAAGGGGCATAAACTAAGTTTAGGGTGTGAAGCCGGATTCTCTCTGAAAAGAGATGTCCTTAGTGTAATCTCTTGGGTGGGCACTTGAACAATGCTAATTCATCAGCTATTTTTGGTTTCTACAGTTTTATAAAGTAGAGTTCCTTTCTATGTAGTCATTAAGATATGTCCTTTTATGTTGCTACCACCATAATTAACGTTGCTAGGAAAATAATTAATTTTATTGTGTATGTCAACAGAAAATTTTCTCTCTCCTTAGCCCTTTCTGTGTAGCTTTAAAATGAGCAATCTGTTCTGAAAATCCTGAAGTGCATTTCAGCATTTTTTTCCTGTAGTACTTAGGCAGCATCTATAAGCACCATTAAAATCACAATCATTCCAATAGGGTTTTACAACAACTCAGAATGCAAGCAGGAAAAATATCTTATGCCAAACACAGAGGGTTTTTACTAAGTATTTCAAAGATGAATTGGTTAAAAAATATTTTTTGGAGTGGGAGTGGCTTTTTTTAAAAAAAAATTGAACACAACTATTTGCAATTCTGAATAATAATTTTATACTTCGTTTTAAACTTTCTGTGTTAGTGTTCAGATCTAGGCCAAGTGATCAGGAAGACTTTTATAGGTTCCACACAGTAGTGCCCTCCAATCAAATCTCTCCCCTGGCAAGCATGATCTGACGTGTCTAAATACCTAAGTTTAAGTTCTGCGGTGTTTCCCTGGGGTTTAATGATGCTCCTATGATATAACTAAATAGCGTCTATTATAGAAGATAGTCTGTCTTTACATCATTGTCTTTCAGAGTGTTCACAGGACATTTTTAGACTACTTTCTGACAGTTATGGAGACAGGCATTGGAAGGGGAGTCTGAAGGCTTTGCTCTTTGCCTTGACTTTGCTCTCACAGCTGTGTGATGGATCATGGGTCACTTTCTGGGCCTTCATCTCCTCATCTGTAAAATGAAGGGGTTGGACTTGATTGTCTGGAAGCTCCCTTTCCACTCAGTTTCTCTGAGTCACTGGACCCCTGGCTGCAATGTTCTCATCATGTTCATCCACCGCAGTGCTTTGTTTAATTGCATCTCAGTACATTTTTTTTTTTTTTAAGGCAAATTATTTTGGTCAGAGGCTCATTCTCAGTCTCCCTGTCCTTTTAAAATTTTGCTTTTCTAACCACAAAGACATTTGGAAAGTATGCTCTACGGACTACATCTCTACCCTAGCTCAAAACAATTCAAAATAATTGAGGAAGACTGATTACAATCTAAACACTCTAATGGCTGCTGATGATCAAGCGTGTTCCTAGCAATCTCACACGTCTCATAAATGCTACACAGTGTGTAAAGAATAGTCTGATTTTATTTTGATTAAGTAGGTTGAGCAGAATCTTGGGAAAACAAGCATGATGTCAGGTTCTGAAAAGGAGCAAGGAGGCATCAGAGGACATTTGCTTTGTCGACTGGGGTTTTAGATCACTGGTACCCCTAATCTGGTGGGCTTCACTGGGCTCCCCGCCTTGGCTCAGTCAGCACGCACCTGCTCAGACCATCTGAGGCCTGCCCCAGGGTCTTTTACGTAAGGGAAGGTCTTAACTGAAGTCAGAGTGAAGAATAGGCTTGATCCTTGATGGTGTGTGTGTGGTGCTTTTCCAAAACATTTTGTTCTGCATATATACATTTCAAGAACACAGTACTTTTAGACAGAGAGTGAGTGTGAGAGTCGGGGGGCTGTGTAGTCTTTAGGGGTGTTAACCCCTTATTATCCCTGGATTCAGAGCCACCCAGATTCCTTTTAGGGTAGTGTGTATGCTGTGTACCCCGAGTAGCAGCACCAGTGAAACTGTTCACATCCCATGAGGGAAGAATCACTTGGGCTTGTTTTGATTCAGGTAAGAAGAGTTCCTGGGTCAAGCGGTCACCTTCATAAAACTGAAGACGGTGACTGGGAGTGGAGTGACGATGAGATGGACGAAAAAAGTGAAGAAGGGAAAGCTGCTTTTTCGCAAGAAAAGGTAAATGACATTTCCAATCATTAGCTCATCGGTGTAAATTCTACTTTTGTGAGCTTTGCGTGTGTGTATACTAACGGATTGATTCATAATTGTTCCACAGTCACGAAGAGTAAAAGAAGAAAATCCAGAGGTGAGTTGTGCTTACTTATTATTTGCCACTTTATTCCCTTCTCTGGGTATTAGAGTCTGATCTATCTGGGGGAGACACTTCCGAATCTCGTGGGGTAGAAAAGAAAAAAGGAATGGTGCATAAACTCTCTAGTTCTCGGCTCGGAGTTACTTTTGGCTGCATAAACTGGGGCACATCCCTTTACCTTCTGAGCTTCAGGTTCCTCCTCTGTCTGATGGGGGATGGTCACAGTACTTACAAAGTTGCCGTGAGGATTGATTACATCATGTGCATGAAACAGCCCTTAGCACAGAGTAGGTAATTAATCTTAACTCTCAGTACTCCTGTCATTTAGAAAACACAGCCTGCATACAGGCAGAATTTCCATTGGGTTTTTAGTCTCTAATAAAGCAGATATTAAAATGGTAAGAAACTCTAAGGTGGTCCTGATGGTCTTGGGTTTTAAATTTTCTTTTTGCAGTTTTTGGCCAGGGCTGGGTTTGAACCCTCCACCTCCAGTATATGGGCCAGCGCCCTACTCCTTGGAGCCACAGGTGCCGCCCAAAATTGTAACTCAGTAGACCAGGAGCACTCTTCTGATAGCTTTCCTTCGAGAACTGGCCATTTTTTGATTAAGAGATCATTTTTGATTTACTTCCTCCATCTGGTTAATTATCCTAATGCCTAATGATGACTGCAGTTCACAAGACTCGCTAATTCTCCTAGAGGAAATTTGAGCATATTTGAAATAGCCCCAAATATTTTCCAGACCTAGTAATTAATATGTACCTTGATAAATTCTCATTAAGAAAACAGAAAACTTTGGGTTACGAATGCTACCATCCCAACTTTTTTTAATTAGCAGCCATTTCCTTTTGATTTAATGGAGTGAATCTTACCATTCTGTGGTAAGTGGCAGTAGCCAGCGGGGCCTCGTGAGAAGGGTGGCAGAGCTGAGCCTCCCTTTCTCTGGCTCTTTCCTGCCTCCAGCTCTCTTCATCTCTCGTGCTGCATGGCTAGGCCTCCCAGGGATTTTTCAGTCTGCTTGCCTCCAACGTGGCTCTCCTTCAGAGTCTGCTTTCTCCTGTGTTTATCATATGAATTAATCTCTCCATTTCATGCATAAAACATGAGCTTTGATCAAGGACGTCATTCCCCTGTGTTAGAAGCAATGTGATGAGCTCCACAGAGGGATGTGTTTGGGCCACACAGATGTCATGCTGGGCTGTTAGGATTTGGGCCGCACAGATGTCATGCTGGGCTGTTAGCATTTGGGCCACACAGATGTCATGCTGGGCTGTTAGGATGATCTTAACCAGCTTTCATGAACTCTGCTCTCTCCTTGCCCACTTTCCCGTTTTATCTAGGGCACAGAGTCCAGATTGTTCCTCTGTTTCTAACAGCTATGCCTAACTAACAATGTTAGTTCTGCTTAGAGATAGAACAAAATGACATGGTTCAAATAGCACCATCAACACATAATCCCTTGTTACTGGTTCATTCCAAGGCATTGTCTTTGGGTGGTGTTCATGGGATCCTGCCTTGCTGGTGCAGACAGCTGGCTGTGGGTCTTCTCTCGTGAGGATTTGTTAAGAGACTGTCTTACTATGGGCTTGTTGAAATTGCTCTGATAACTGATTTGTTATTTGGCAATAGTCTTTTCTTCCTAGACAGGAAAGGGAATCGTGTATAGCATGCTGTGAATTGATCCTCAAGACTGACTTTCTCGAGTGGGATTTGAAAGTCGTAAGCACTTCATAGCAATTAGACCTATTGGATTTTCCAGTGGCTTGTGTCTGTTTCCATATTGTTTTATAATTAAGGAAGCAAATAAATAGGCATCTTATTTCTGTGAGAAGATACATGTTTGCAAGAAAACATTCCACCAAATTTTGGAGGGAACCAGCCCCCCTGCCATTGTCAGCTTCTCAGGACAGTTTTTGACACCCTGTTCTTCTGACAGCATTGATGTTCGGGTGTCCTGAGCTGGGTTAAGAGATGCTACCATGGTGGTTCTTTGAGCTTTAATTAAAGCGCCCCTCTGATTTGTCAGCTACCCCAAACTGCTTTCTGTGAGCCAAGTATTATGTATTATAAAGGAAATAAAAAAGTGTCAAATATTCAACAAATATACATTATGTGCCTACTGTGTACACAGCTGTAGCATGTTTTGGAGATAGTGAGAAAAAGCAAAAAGTCCAGGCCTTGTGGAGCTTGCATTTTAATAGGAGTATATAAACAATATATAATGGCCTTAATAAGTAAATAAATCATGTGATGTTAACAATGGAATGGTAGGAGAAATAGGAAAAAAAGTAGAATGGGGTAGGGGTGCAGGGAATGTGATGGGGGGGGTTTAATTTTAGAATAAAGACTTGAAAACACATAGGAGAATTAAATAGAATAAAAACCAAAAGATGATTTTTATCCTGCTTCCCCTCCAACCCGAACCGAGATTGTCAGTTGGCAGTGTTTTCTTCCAAACCTCTTTCTGTTTGTCTCCATATAAATACTATGTGTACATAAAGAAATCTAGTATATCATTGAAAAAACATGAATGGAATTATGATAGCTATAAATATTTTTGCAACTTGCCTTCTAGTTTTGAAAATCTTTCCACATTAGATATTGTAGATCTACCTCTTTATTTTTAACTACTGTAGAGTGTTGCATTGGGTGGATGGAAATGGTCTATTTAACCATTTCCTTCTTGTTGAGCATTTAGGTTGCTGTTACAAACATCATGCCATTAACTTTTTTTGGAGGGGACATAGTCCAGTAAAGTATAGACACTTAGAGTTGTGATTGCTTTGTTGAAGCATCTGTGCTTTTGAAGTTTCGTACTTGCTATCAGTAACTATACTGATTTATACGGACTCCGACAGTGCACCATATACTTTCAAACATCTTTGAGAGTGAAAATGTTTATCCATGCCAAACGATACATCTAAATGCCAGAGTATTTACATTTTAATAAACTTCTCAATAATGCTTGTCATTCACATTGCATTAAATTTGAAAATGCCAGAGTATTTACATTTTAATAAACTTCTCAATAATGCTTGTCATTCAAAGTATCTTATACTTTTTGAGTATAAGCCACTAGCAGACTGGGATAATATTTTACTCATGTTTTGTGTTCCCTTCTCATTCAATGGGTACTTTATACATGTTTGTTGGCCACGTGGATACTTCTGCACTGAAATGCAAACATCAAGCAAGTGTGTGAATGGGCGTATAGTATCTACGGAAGCGCACAAGTTGGGTTAAGGATCAGAAGACCTTATATTTATAATTGAAGTGAAGTTCAGAAAAAGTAGCCTTAGTACTACCATGTTTAGACACCAAGGTGTTGCACCAAATGGAGGGGTATTTCCGGAATCATTAATTTGTGGGGGCTTTCTGGCCTCTTAGGAAATTATGAAGTAAAATGCTCAAGTATTACAGTATTAATTGGGGAAGACTGAGAAGACCAGAGTGGGATGTTTGTCAGAGGGACATTGGGAAGATGTGCTTTATCTTGGACCATATTTGGAGATCCTCTTAAGTTCGAGAGAATTGCCAGTATAAAATTGTGAGGTTTCAGAGTTACGCCACTTAATGTTGAGGTTCACAGCCAGCTTGAGATTCACAGCCATCAACATTGAAAAATTGATGTTTCTAACCTGATATTTTAGAAATAGCCTTGC